GCTAGAGCACCCTTCATTGGTGCCCCTAACAAATTGCTCCACCATGAACTCTAATTTGCTCTTTGGCTCCGGTTGTGGAGTGGCACATGGTCTTGAGGTTTCTGACATGAAAGCCTCCATGACCAAATCTAACTTGGATTTCTCCTCGGGTTGTGGAGGGAAATCTTCTTGATATATGGGGAAGCCTCTTCATGTCCCCAATGGTATGTTGTTCTTCTTGGAAGGAAGGTTGGTAATAGAACCTGGATCCTTGGCTTCCCCCTTCTTGTTCACTCCATGAAGCTCCAGGGTACCCCCATTCGTGTGGTTGTGGATACCCCCACCTATTGTAGAAGCCATTGGGATCCATGATTCATAACCTACACAAACAAAAACACAAAAAAAAAAAAAATCAAACAAACACAAACCACCCATCTAAGAGAAGAGTGGGTAAACAAAACGAAACAACGACACGAAACAAAAAACAAAAAACGGCTAAACACAAAATCAAATAACCTAGAATGGTCTCCAGCAACGGAGCCAAGAACTTGACTCGTTCTAACTACAACATACCAATCGATGACCAAGTATAACCGTCGACCGGGTGTTGCATAGGGCAAGCAAGCAATAAGAATTTATCGTACCACGGGGATCTAGGCTTACCCTACTTCAGGTTTAGGGTTTGTTATCTACCCAACTTAGGATAGTGATTGATAGAATCAAACTAACTAACCTAGCTATTTACAAGGTTTGGAGCTCTCTTGGGTTGAATCGTCCTAGGTTCGTTCTTTGGATCAATGTTGGGTATCCTCCTAGTTTGATCGACTCAAATACAGTACCGTTTGGAGATGGACTCCCTCAGGCGTGACCCGGCACGGCGAATCGATGGATAGGTAGTGCTCTATTCAACCTAGGGTTTCGTATAATGCTAGGAGACTGGTCGAATAAAATCCCTCGGGGACTACACGGACAATATAAGGTAAGAGAGACCCAAAGACGCCAAAAGGGGCTCTAAGGGGATTATATCCCTCCTAGGTCAAAAGCTCAATACATGAAAATGGAAACCCAACTCATGCCAATCATGAAAACATCCATCAATTAAGTAAAATCACCAATCAAACATGGAATGTGTCACATACATCAACATTAAGTCCAAATCTATACCTAGGGGTTCTCAAAACCAAGAGAAGAGGGTGGGTTTCTAGAGAGAGAAGAGAGGGATAAAAAATTTGAGCTCAAGATCTTCTTCTTCTTCTTCTAGGCTTGAATCCTTGTCTTCAAGATCAACCCAAGCCTCCAATGATGCTCCAAGATTACTCTAGCACTCTCTCTCTCTCTCACCAGAACTCTCCTTTGGTGTTTTGGGCTCAAACCCTAGAGAAAGAAACCAATTCTTCTCCAAAAACCAGCTCTCCTTTTTCTCTCCCCGCTATTGTCTTCATACTTGCTCGAAAGTATCAGTTCACGGCCGTGAACACCTAAACGCGTCCGTAAACTCAGTGTTGTCCAAAACGCACCGCTTCACTCTCTTGGGTTCACGGTTTGTGCTCCATGTTCACGGTCTTAGCCTTGTCGTCAGTAACTTCTGGAACCTTGCTGGACGCCTCAGTGTTCACGGTTTGTGGTCCAAGTTCACGGTCTTATGAGACCGTGAACTGCCTTGTCCGACTGTGAACTGCGACTGTTTTTTCGGTTTATGTGCTTTTTGACCTCCAATTATCCCAAAACTCGTCCTCGACCCTTCCACACGTGCTATGACTTGAAATGTATCAAAACAAGCACAACCTAGCATGAAATATGTCCAGGAACGATGGTCTACTAAGCTAAACGAATAAGAAATGAGGGGTAAAATGTGTACATTTGAGCTCGAATCACTAACATCGTTTGATGATTTGGCTTTTTTAGTAATTTTCCTGCGTGAAATTTTTATATTTTATTTTTCTACTTTGAATTAGAAGTCATAAAAAAATAAAAATATCTCAGCCTGTTCACCTTCTTCCCATGCGCCGCCTCGAACCTTGTATTCACCTCCTCCCACTGCCACCATGTCCCTTAGATTTCTTCTTCATATTTGGTGAGTTTGGATCATTAAGGAAAGCTCGACCCTAATCCCAACCTCATTTTTTGCGCTTGAGGAATCCGCAAATCCAAGCCGATAATGTCCAACGATCCAACGATTATTAACTAGCGACTGGGAGGGACGGTAGTCGTCTGCTCGAGTTATGGTGGGATTAAGAAGGGGAAACACGACGAGGAAGTAAGAAAGCCTAGATTCAGGCGACAATTGCGGTTGCTCTTTCTTCTAGATCGATTTCTTTGCTCATTCCCCCCCCCCCCCTAAATGTTGTGTTGTAGAGCATCCCACATGTCAATCAAAAAAAGCTCCTCTAGCATCATGACAATCGCCGGAGATCTACCCCAATCCTTTATCCAATCGAGTTTTGTCAGAGATTTTGTAATCAAACTCAAGCGAGGGAGTCACAAGTATCGGCGACAACAACCCCATGGACAAGGAAGATCCAAATCCGGAGCAGTGGATTTCAATCTCCTCGTGGATTTGGATTTGGGATAGAGGTGATGGCGTCGAAAACTTAGAGGAAAACTCTTGCGGTGGGGTGTAATAGGTCGGAATCGAAGACGAAAAAAGGAATCTGGAGAATATGATTGTTTTTTTTATGTAATTAACATAAATAAAAAAGAATATTTTTATGATGTGGTGATTATGTGGCAAGGGGAAGTTTAGGTGGCAACCACATCAGTATAACATTTACTTAACTGACGGTGTTATTGACAGTGTTAAAGTATTTGACGGATATAGACAAATTAGTCGTACAAATTTAAAAAGTGTGACTATAACTATGTATTATTCAAAATTTGTCTATAATTGTCTATGATTTTTGCCTATCCAATTGTATTAACAAATTTAACTAATGAAAACCATTTAGGGGCGGTAGCAAGTAAATTAAAAGAAAATGGAAAAGAAAACCATGGACACGCGAAAAGAATCCCCCAATATATTCTCTTCCTTCTCCCTCCTCGTTCTTCCTCCTCCACACTGTACTCTACTAGCTGTGACTGTGAGCTTCCAAATATCTTCCCTCCCCGAAAATCCAAAATGTCGATGGCTAGGGTTATTTCCCGATCGTTGGAGGTCAGAGTTGGCTCTCGGGTGCCTAGGGGACGGGTTCAGTTAATTATGAACCCGTGGGATACCCCACCGGAGCTGCTCTCCGGCGGCGAAGGTCAGGGAGTTGACTGGCGTAGGTAGGGTTGTCGTTCCAGACGGCTGGAAGACGGAAACCCTCTTCATTCCAGGATGGTCGACAAGGGAGGCACCGCCTGAGCTGTTCACCGGCGAACGGCTGGTCTACGGCGAGGGTTTGGTGCAGCTTCCCGACTGCTGGACGCCTGAAATTTTGGTTCCTCGTGGATGGTCGAGGTCCACTGAAGCAGTAAAGAAGGAGCCCTCCCGGAACTTGGTGGAAGTAACAGAGCGCTATTTCGACCGAACAGCGCTCGATAACATGGAGAAGCATGGAGGGAAGGATACGCTCGAGAAGATCCTCCGGAAATTCGATTGGGGAGGAGATGATGTCACTTTGAATGAGGTCTTCGAAATTACGAAACAATTGGACTTGAAATTTGAGAAGCTGACGGAGAACGAGTGGAGGGCTTATGTGAGGGGAAAACTCGATGAGATAGCCAGCCGCTTGCCTCCGGCGAAGTATGGCCACGGTGGTTCGTTGGTTCTCGTGGCGAAACCAACGGTGAACACTGGCGTTAGTGGGCAGAAACCCAAGGATCAAGTTGATGATGCCAAGGAAAATGGAACCCACGGAGTCGAGCAAGCCGACGGAGTCAAGCTCAAGCCCACCCAGGATCCGTCTCAGGAACCCCTCCAACAGTAGTCCGTGCCCGTAGTCAAGCAAGCCGACGTAGTCGAGCCCACCCAGGAACCCCTCCAACCGCAGTCCCCGCCGGCAACTGATCCCGAAAACGAAGAGAAGGCCTGGGTCGTCACGGGTCATTCTCCGAAAAGTTTCATAGCATTGTCATAGCAGCTCTTGAAAACTCCCGTGACGACCCAGGCCTTCTCTTCGTTTTCGAGATCAGTTGCCGGCGGGGACTGCGGTTGGAGGGGTTCCTGGGTGAGCTCGACTACGTCGGCTTGCTCGACTACGGGCACGGACTGCTGTTGGAGGGGTTCCTGGGACGGATCCTGGGTGGGCTTGAGCTTGACTCCGTCGGCTTGCTCGACTCCGTGGGTTCCATTTTCCTTGGCATCATCAACTTGATCCTTGGGTTTCTGCCCACTGCCGCCAGTGTTCACCGTTGGTTTCGCCACGGGAACCGACGAACCACCGTGGCCATGCTTCGCTGGAGGCACACACAGGTCATTCTCCGAAAAGTTTGAGCAGATCTTATATTTCATTGAGTGCTTGTCTTTAGGGGGTGTAGTACTTCATTGCGGCTCAGTTCTCCTTTTCCGTTTTTCTGAATCCTTTCCTTCTCTACTTTGATAAATGGTTTAAGCTTGTTGGAATATAATACAGTACTCTTTGTTCCTAGCTTCCATCAAATGATGTTACTACTGTAGCGAGTTGTCTGTTATTGGATCTTCAATACAGATCAAGGAGCTCTTGCCTCTTTACAGAAAGTTTGTGGATCACAGGAAACAGCCAGAGCTCAAGATGTACGATCTTTCACTATTTCAAGGGAGGGCTGAACAAAATGAGGATCATAAGGTTGTATATCTAACTCTTTTCATCAGTAACATACTTGTTCAATGAGACTCATGCTGTGTCTTGTCTCACTCCACTGTGTCATAGCTTGGTGAATTGGGGAAGAAGATTAAGCAAGATCTTGACGATGCAAAAGTTGCAGCAGAAGAAAAACAGAACTTGTATGATCAGTGTGTCAGCTCTGTTGCACAGCTGGCGAAGTCAATCAAGTAGCATGACAATAGTCGGGAAACAAGGGTTCATGATCTAGCGAAAAAGGTTAAGAAGACAAAGGCCCAAATGCAGTCAGCTTCAAAGGATCTCAAGGTCAGGAACGCTTTCTTTTTTCTGCCGGATTGCTATTGCATTGTTAACTTGTACCAACCAAAAGTCTGATACTGTGAAATGCTAAGACTTCTCTAACTGAATAACTGCATCGAGTTGTAACATGTTCTGTCTTGTTAATAGGCGCATGAGCATGAAAGAGAGAGAATGGTTTTGGAACGTGAAGTAGTCATCAAAGAGCATGCGTCATTAGAGAGTCAATCAGCTTCTCCTTGAAGGCACAAATCAATAGTCTTGATGTTGAAGTAGAAGAACAAGAAGCCAAGGTAATATCTAGACCTGGTTCAGGCTCTGTTACATGTATTATGTACATAATTGCAGGAGTACTTGAACAAGGCTACTGTTGCAGGTAGCATCCATACATGGTAATTGTGATAGTGCTCAATCTGAGCTTGATTCTGTCCGCCATAAGATGAAAGAGTATGACACCCAAGTTAGTAGCATTGTCAAGGAACAGCTAAAGCGGCTGCACAAAATTACTGAGATCAAGCTTGAGCAAAAGAAGTTAGAAAATGAGGTAAATCTGTGTTCGCACTGGTACTTTGCATGCTCAATGATCTAAAACATGATATTTTACCGTTCTGTAATAGTTGAAAAGAATGGAAATGGAACACAAGGATTGCTCTACTAGAGTTGAGAAACTGCTGGAGAAGCATGCCTGGATTGTAACTGAGAATCAGTTATTTGGAAGAAGAGGAGCTGATTATGATTTTGAATCACGTGATCCTCATAGGGCTAGGACTGAACTGGAGAAGCAGAGCAATCAGGGCGAGTAAAGGGTTATTGCGACAGTCATTCTATTATTTAACCTCAGGGTTAATAATGTGAAAGCATGCAACTTTTTACCTACCTTCCTGCATAAGAATAACTAGCCTTCTGTTTAGTGCACAACACATACTTTTCTGCAGACTTTAGATGTGCATGTTCTATTACCTAGTGATGCTTGTTCCTTAGTATTGCTTTTGTTTTTTATATGAACCTACTGTAGTTTGGAGAAAAGGTGAACAAGAAAGTTATGGCGATGTTTGAGAAAGCTGATCTGTTAGTTCCTTGTTTTTTCATTAGACTGATTAATCACCTATGCTTCTTTGCGATGAATGGAATCTTTGCTTTGAAGTCTTATTGCATTTTTGGTGTTTCTAGCATGAGTTTTGATTAACCTGAAACAGCATTGAAATTAATTTCAGCCAAATGCTTCGATGAGGGTTTCTGTGAGAACCACGGACCTAGGCGTGCGAATTAGGGATTAAACGAACTAGGGATTTGGGATTTAGGTGAGAAAGAAGGGGAAATTTGGGATGAGAGAGAGAGCAGAATCGGTTCCCGGGATGGGAGCCGCCGAGTTGAGAGGGAGAGGAGGGGGGTTCGGCTAGGGATAGTTGAGAGAGAGAGAGAGTTGGGAATAATTCTGTATTATTGCTTACTCTTGACCTAACATAACATCATATATATATATAACCCGACTAATTACTGTTTACTACCCGAATAATTAACCTAACCGAAATAACCCCCATAATTCTCCTATCCGATAATATCCGAATAATACGAAATAACAAATAGACTCTCAACAATTATGTTTCTCACAATCCATCCCCCTTGAAACCCACCTTGCCCTCAAGGTGGACCATGGGTCTTGTCCTCTTCTTTCTTGTCTTCTCCTTCAACGCCCTTCTCCATTTCTTCGCCTTCATCCTCCCAATTCCCGATTAGCAGCATCAAGTGACCCTTGGCGCACTGGTGGCCCACAGTATACCTCTCATCACAGTTGAAACAACGCCCATCCCGCCGTTTCTGGTCCATCTCCGCCTGAGTCAGCCTCACGAACCCTCGCGGTGGTGCTCTGGTCGGAAATCGCGGCCCGGCAGTGGTCCCGGTCGCAGGAGGACTTGCTGCCGCCGCCGGTGCTCCCGCCCCGGTACCGGTTCCGCCACCCACTCCACCACTAGCCTTCTGTATCCTGCCCACAGAGGACCTCCAGCTTGCCAGCTCCTCTTCCTTCCGCCCTGCAATTCTAAAAGCCACCCGGAGAGATTCCGGCTCAAAGACCTTGACCGCCGTGGCCAACTCGGGCCTCAGGCCCGCCATGCACAGCCCCACCAGAGTTTCTTCGGTCATCTCCTTGCATTGGTTTCCCAGCTTCAAGAACTCTGCTCTGTACTCCGCTACTGACCCTGTCTGTTTAAGCTTGGCCAGTTGCTCCGGGGCCCAGCCTTCTGCCCTTCCGAACTGATATCGGAGCTCTTCCTGGAACCGAGCCCACGAAATCCTCTCACCCGCTGCTGCGTACGCCCGCTCAGTCCACTCCCACCACTGGAGGGCATCCCCCTCCAAGTAGAAGGACGCCAGATGCGCCTTCCTTTCCTCCCTGATCGGATGATTCCTAAACCACCTCTCAGCCGCATATAACCATAGCCCCACATCGCCAGTGCCATCAAACTTCGGAAACTCAATAACTGGCGGTTTAGCTCTAAACACCAGTTCATCCTCATAGTCATACAGAGGGTTGCTGTACCCGTACCTGTTACCGCCGGTTGGCGGCATCGAGTGGCCCGACCCCTGATGTCGATACTCTGGCCCCGCGTTCTGCATCTCTGAGTAGGCCCAGTCGGCCATCTCATGCTGGTACACCTCTCCTCCCCCAGCCTTCGCTCCGGATCCTTGACCCTCCTCCAACCGGCGTCCCGGTCGTGCCCCCTCGGCCCGTGGAGTACCCCATGGCGGATAACCAGCCTCGGGGCCCTGTCTGTCGCGCCTGGGCCCGCCTCCTGGCCCATACCTGCTGCTGCCCATCGGCCCCCGCCCCGGTTCCACCCGGTTCGACCCGGTCCGACCGGGTTCGGCCCCGCCCGACTCGGTCCGACCGATCCCGGTCCGACCATAGCTGGTTCGGCCGGCTAACAACCCAACCGGTCGACCTGTTTGGTCCAGCATGGGCTCAGTCACCGGATTCTGGTCGGGCCCATTGGCCCCTGGGCCCATCTCCCACTCCTCCTGATCTGCGAAGCTCATCTCCTCATAGTCCGGGCCCAATTCCTCGAACTCCACCACCTTCTTCTGCCTGCGGGCCTCCGCAATGTCTTGGGCCGTCGGAGCCGGAAGCAGACCTGGCCCACTGAAGACTGGGACGGATCCAGATCCCCGGCCCGCTCCTCCTGCTGGTCTGGCCCCGCCGAGATAGCCGCCTCCCCGGCCCCCTGGGCCTGGCGGCCGCGCCGCCCTTGAGCCCCCACCGCCGGCCACCTCGCTCGGCGCCGCGGCCTCCCTGCCGCCGAGAGCGCCTGGCGGCTTAGCCGCCGCCGCCGCGGCCAGCGCGCCGCCTGCCTCCCCTCCCGCGGCGCTACCCGCGCCACCAGCCGCGCCGTCGCCCGCCCCCGCCGCCGCTCCTGGCGGGGCGACTTCCTTCTTCTCGGCAGCCGCTGATACCGCCGCCGCCGTCTTCTCCACAGCCTCAGGTCGGCTTCCCGGGCTTGGCTCCTTGCCCTGAAACACCCCGATCAAAACCTGAGTCATGGTGTCCGCCAAGGCCTTGCACAGCTTCTCAGTCATGGCCGTGCCCATCTCCTCAATCGAGGAAGTAATTCGCTCCCCCAGCGCCTCTATGGCCTCAGTCGAATTCCGGGAAGCAGCAGCAGCTCGCTCTGTCGAAGCCGTCAAGCTCTCCAATGTTGTCACAACAGCGTCGTACTTGTTATTCGTGATGTCCTTCACGGTCACGATCTCCTGACCTTGCCTCGGCTGTTGCGATTTGTCCATGTTTGACATATCAATTCCTGTAGCTCAGTAATCAGCACGCCAGCCAGGCTCTGATACCAATTGTGAGAACCACGGACCTAGGCGTGCGAATTAGGGATTAAACGAACTAGAGATTTGGGATTTAGGTGAGAAAGAAGGGGAAATTTGGGATGAGAGAGAGAGCAGAATCGGTTCCCGGGATGGGAGCCGCCGAGTTGAGAGGGAGAGGAGGGGGGTTCGGCTAGGGATAGTTGAGAGAGAGAGAGAGAGTTGGGAATAATTCTGTATTATTGCTTACCCTTGACCTAACATAACATCATATATATATATAACCCGACTAATTACTGTTTACTACCCGAATAATTAACCTAACCGAAATAACCCCCATAATTCTCCTATCCGATAATATCCGAATAATACGAAATAACAAATAGACTCTCAACAATTATGTTTCTCACAGTTTCAGAAACCCCATATAGTGTTTTATGTTTGCTCTGTTTGTTGAATTCATATTATGTAGCCTGCCCGGGAAGTCTAGCATTTCACATCCAAGTTGGCAGTGCCTAAATAGATATCTAGACTTTTACATGATTATACCAATGGATGCCAACAAGTGATGAGGCCTTTAACGATTGAATTTCATCAGTTAGTAATCCTGCATGCATTAACATGCTAATCATTGCTCATTAAGCCTTGTGAACTCAACATATTTTGGTATATAACTGTCCACTTTTCAGTGTTCTTTTTATGCATGGTGGGCGACTTTCAGTGTTCTAACAGAGATAAATGGTGTTTTCCTGATTTCAGCTCCCGTGTAGGCTTAAACCAAACGGACTCCATTCTTGATAGAATTTCTCTATGTTGGCCGTTCTCTAAGGCAAGAGGGGCTATGCTTCTGTGCTATTTGGGCAGGCAGGATTGGGCCGCAAAACATCAACAGATGGCTTGCTATTACTCTATGAATCATGCAGTGGAGTACTTCAATCTTCGGGCCATTTCAACTGAAAGACTTGGGTATTATCTTCTTCTACCCCCCTCGTTTGTTCCTTGCCTGGCTAAAACTTTCTGTTGTCTTCTTAACTACCATTGCTTGAGAGCTCTTACTAACTATACGATGTCTAGAGAAATTGTTCCATTCTAAAGGGTCCCGGCTATGGAATACTCACTTTATAGTATGTAGTTGATTGAGTTCTTGATTTGATGCATGAAATTGTGGAGTGGGCTGGAAATTATGCGCTGATATTGTTACGCGCTAGTTTCAGTTTACACTATCTAGCTGTTATTTGAGATCAATTGCTTGCTATGAAACTGGAAAATTTTCTACCGTATGGAATGCTCTAAAACTGGGCTGCTCCAAAATTGTCGAATGAGTTGATGAACTTGTTTTATTATTGCATTGCAGGCCGGAGCCCGGAAGAGCGCCTTTGGGATCATGCAGAGATATAACTACTGCACCTAGTACGAGTCCTCCTGTTCCTGTAGGAGGGTCTGGAACTTTTCCAGGCTCTGTTCCGTTTAGGTTAGGTTAGGGGCTCCAACTTTTTGGCCACCTCGCGTAGTGAATCTTCCCCTCCTCCGCCTCGTACAGAACGAACGTCTTCCATTAGGTTCAATTTCTCCGACACGCAGCCGCTGTTCAGAATCCTCAAGGGTTTCAAGAATTGGAATGCTTCCTTTGAGACTAACCGATTGATTAATCCACCGGAGGAAAGATTTGAGCCACCGATGCCGGCCGGAAATCTGGGCTCAGATTTGTCTCACACCCTATGTTTCCCGACGGATTGCAGACGGGTAGAGAAAGGGACTACAATGTGAGTAATTGAGACTGCATGAGAGATATCAATAATTTACTGATTAAGAAACTGAGAATAGAGAGACAGAGGTGAGAAAAACAGAGTATAAGATAAGATGGTTTCTACAATTGCTACAGGTGAGAAGAAAGGGTTATGTGCAGGCGGAGGATCCAAACTCCAAAGAGAAGAGGGATGCCTATTTTCGTAGAAAAGAAAAAAGTCGGATAATTGGAATTTCTATCAAACGGCTGCGTTTCTAAGAGAGGGCGATCCAAATGATTGTTTTTAATTTTTTATATACTAATAACAACTAGATTAGGGCTCGGCCTCTTGGCCGGGTAATTTGTATTATGGTTGATAATTGATATAAATGTTATTCTTAAAATAAAGATAATTAACTTAATTAAATATTTATACACTATGACGGATGTGACCCATTTTGTTTGAACATTTTCATAATGTAATGGAAGTGAAATGATGGTTAGAAGTGGAACCAAATTATTTTGACAAAT